TTATGCAGGAGAGCAAAGATCTTTGGAGGCAGATCAGAGGTGCATGGCTATGGTACGTTAATCTCTGCTTATTCTGGTTAATTGAAATATGGAATTCGACCAACGAATTGTAGTGAACATAGCTTTTGGACAGCTGCATGCAAACAGCTAGTTGTCAGGTCGACGTCCCACTGTAGTTGTGGTGATTCATGTCGCCAAACCATCCATTCGCACTCACCTCTTCGCCTGCATTTTGGGCATGTTGTGGCCTCCGGTGCGGTTTAGAGAACTATAATTACGTGGAGTGCATTCAAGTAATTGCATTTGATCTGTGTTCGCTTGCTGCTCGCCAAAGCCACTCAGGAGTTCTTTTGAGATGCGTGCGTCTCTGCTTTGTAACTGCCTGGCCAAAATGCTTGATAGTTTGCTAGCTGCATCGGCTGTTACCTGGAGCAATAGGTGACCACGTTGAGAGTAACTGTTTAAGGCGGGGGCTGTTGACCGAATGTGTGCTAATGGAAAACCGATTCTACTAGTCGCATTTGAGATGCGCGAGAATTTATCAATGTCACGTTTATCATCATCAACTGCATTGCCATTTTGACTGAAGCACTAACACCTTACATTTCCATCATTATCAGCTACAACCACTGTCGACCCGGGCGCTGCAGCAGCAGTGGTCCTACCCGCCACGTCCCACACAACCACTCCCAAATTGTCGCCCCTTGGGCTTCGCAGGGATCAACTCGTCCCTCACGCCCTCGCACCAGCATCCGTGGTGGTCGGCTGGTGGGCATCCCTCGTCTGTATCTCCTGCGCAAACATCTCATGAACACCTGCAGCAGCAGCAGCAGCAGCTCTTCTGTCAGCAGAGACAACAGCAAGACATGATGCAGCAACAGCACCAACCGCATCTCATAACATCCCCGTGGCCCATGTCGTCGTATGAGCCTGGCCAGATGATGCAACAGGTAATGGTCATGTTGAAGTAATAGAGCATAAGTTAATTGAAGCACGCCAATCACGGCCATTTACCTTTGAGTGTACTTTACACTGAAATGCGTTCAAGGCTGCGTCTGAAGGCGTACTCTGCCTTTGACTGAGGCGCTGACTCATCCAGGTTATGTTCTATCGTAAGTGTGGGGAAGGTCGATGACGAGCTAAA